TCCCAAAGCATGTTGATTATTACCAGCTCAATGCGCTTGTTGTTCTTTCCTGACTTATGACACTTTGATGTACTGGCCAGATCCCGTTTTGTTCAATTGAAAAGCTGGTGGAAAATTTTGAAGTCTTTCTCACTTATTCTGACCAAACAGACTCAGGAAGAAGAAGTAAACAAGACAAAAGGAACAGAGTAAAGGACAAAGGAAAGAGATGATTCCTAACAAGAAAACTACAAAGTAGAAACCTATTAGATGTGGATACCAACTCTAATGATCATGACATGCACATTTTGATTAAGTGGCCTAATCTGTCAAACAAGTCTGATGTTCAACTCTTGTTATACCCCTGAACCGTGAAACTGGACTTCAATGCTCCGATCATCCAATCTGATTCGCACCCGAAGGGTTTTCACCATCAAGCTTCTCTCATTTTGTTTTTTCTCTCATCTTACCATCGCCTTACGGTGCCCGCACGAGTTTTCACCAATAAGACTCTCATTTTCATTATCTTTTCTGCTTGGACCTGAGTGTTGCCCCTGATATGAATTACCTCTCCTTGCTTGACTTGGCATCTCTCGAAGACTGATCGGAAGGTCTTTCTTTGGACCGTAACGTGGGCTTTTGGATAGGGTTAAAAAGAAAGGATAGCAAAGGCTCAAAACAATTCACATGGGTTCAAAGTCACAACTTTCGGAATCAAATTTCTTACAACAACCACAACTTGTGCCACAGTTTCTTGCTTGGGGACTTTTGGATTTTATTTTGATGAGACCGAACCGTGAGGCTGCCTACGTATCCTTAAAAGGAATCAGGTCGAACGTAGTTCATGTAAACTTTTGTTTTTATTTTTCCTTTTGTTTTGTTTTCTCTTCCTTTTTCCTTTTCTTTTCCTCTCTTTTTTCATTTTTCCTTCTCCTTTTTTTCCTTTCTCTCCCTTTTTCTGTATCACATTTCTAAACTCTGCTTTTGATTCCAAAAGAGGGATATGAAAGAAAATAAATAAGGCTCAAAGGGGTGACAAAGGATAAAGTGTTTAGATAGCAAAATAAAATGCCTTTGTCATTCCAATCTTCAAAGCATGCCAAACACAAACAACACAATTAAACAAACCAAAGAAATCATACGTAATATCTTTTGACTTCATCAGAATTGATAGCCATATCTACACATTTGCCTTCTATATCTATTAAATACGAAGCACCATTGGATAACACTCTCATTACGATGAACGACCCCGGCCAATTTGGGACAAACTTGCCTTTAGCTTCAACCTGATGCGGCAAAATGCATTTTAATAGTATTTCTTTTTGTTCTACCTGCCCCAGTTTCACAATTCGGGCTTGAAGTGATCTCAAAATGCCTTTACTTTTTTCCCTCAAATGTCCTTATCATTTTCAAAATTGTTTCATTGCTTCATGACTAAACTAACTTTTAAAACTAGGCTGAGAATTACGCGTGCATGTCATGTCACTAGAGTCAATAGGAAAAGAACTATAAAAATAAAGGAGAGCTAAACAAAATGACTAGAAATTACAGAAAACAGAAAATTGCATTAAACAGATGGTGAAAGGGTTTGGACAATAAAATAAACAAATTAAATTGGGGTTACAAACCTAGAATAAACCTAGACAACACTAGACGAGCTACTATGACTAAACAAACTAGGCAAAAATAAAAGGATAGAAGGGTTTAAGCCACAAGACAATATCCGGATTACAACCTTGAAATAACCCGGACAATAGAAATGACAACAAAATAAACCACCAAAACTCCTCTCTGGCTAACCAAGAAAGGAGCGTCTTTCCAATTGCCAAGCTCGACATCTTAGCCACTGAATTCCGCATCAACATTGCTAGGACCTTCACAAACTTCTATCACATTGTTCTTAATAAATTGCTTTTGGGTTCCCTTTGCTGGCTCATTCTTAAGATCAGCCTCTGATGGCACTGGAAACTTTGCAGCGCGTGGACCTTCGAGTATCTCAAAACAATTCTCATATTCCTTTTACAACAAATCATACTCACCATATGCGTCTCATTACGAACATGCGATGGACTCTGGCTAGTGTCTGCTGCATCTGGATTTTGCACGACAATGTCACCTGCATCAATAAGCATCTGAATTGCTTTCTTCAGATTCCAACACTTCTCTATGTCATGCCCCGGGGCATCTGAGCAATATGCGCACCTTTGAGAAAAATCAAACTTCTTTGACAGAGGGTTTGGCATTTTTATCTGGATCGGCTTCAACATGTCCAATTGCTTCAACTTTTGGAACAAACTGACATATGATTCTCCAATGGGGGTGAAAGCCTTTTATTTTTTCAGCAACCTCTCATTCTTAAATGCTTGATTGGGCCGAAAACCTGATCCAGGGAGTTTTCGGTAGGCTCGTAGGGGTGGATAGGCACTTCGTAGAGCTGGGTACTGGGAAAATGATGTACGACTTTGGGAGTTCTGTAGAGAGAAGTGGCATTGGGGAGGATCATCTGGTGCACAAGGATATCCACGGGGACGATGTCGAGGTTGGAAGTGTTGATGGGGAAAGCCCATCGGATCATCGTTTTTGTTTCTCTTTCTTCCACCCAAGCTTACTGGGATGTTTTGAATGTCTTTCGAACAACTCATGATTTTGCCTATTTTGATTCCCTCTTCTACCATCTCCCCCATTTTTAACACATCATTGAAAGGCTTTCCCAAGGACGGGATCAAATGACTGAAGTAGGTGGGCCCCTGGGCTTTTAGGAAGAGCTCAACCATTTCTTCTTCCCCAATCGGGGTATTGACTCGAGCAGCCTGCTCCCTCCATCTGAGTCCAAATTCTCTAAAGCTTTCCTCCGACTTCTTTTCCATTCTAGATAGGGAGAAGCGGTCTGGGGTAACGCCTGATCTGTATTGAAAGTATCGAACAAAATCTTGAGCCATGTCACCCAATGTAGGCCACTTACCAATATCTTGACAAATATACCAGTCCAAAGCTGCCCCAGTCAGGCTCTTACTAAAATATGCCATCAACAGGTCATCTTTCTCTCCAGCGCTTCTCATTTCACTGCAATAGACCCTCAGGTGGGCTACCGGATATCCACGACCATCATACAAGTTAAATTTTGGCACTTTAAACCCCGCAGGCAGACGAAGGCCAGGGGACAGAGACAGTTCTTTGTAAGTCATGCTACCTTGGTCTTCCCTTCCTTGTTTGTTTTCAAGGATTGTTCTATGCTTTTCAGCCTCCTGGGTATCCCATCTTTCCATTCTCTTCCTATGAACCTTTCATTTTCAACATGCAACTTATTCCAAGGGCTCTATTTGTATGAGTTGGGAACTTTGTGGGCAACCTCTAAGGGGTAATATTGGGCATCGTGAGCTTTGAGTGAGTGTTCATTGTTGGGGATGGTGGATAAGACAGGAGTCAATTTTTGGGAAAGGTAATTGGAAGATGAGTGACAGAGCTACTAGGGTGGTTGGGAAAGCCATGGTAAGCGGGTGAATTTGGAGAGTATGGGGGCTCATATGGCACTGTGACCGGTGTTTGGGTAAGGTTAGTATTTAGGAAGTTAGGTGGTGGCGGGGGTGGTGCCTTCCCAGTCATCCAGGCCTGATACATGTCCGCCATGTGTTGTCTTAGCATCTTTACCTTTTCAACCAACCCATTGTCCTATTCAACCAATTGCTTTTGAGCACCTGTATCAACCAACTCAGTTTTGTTGTTGTCTGCCATTGCCTTTGACTTTATGTTGTAGAGAGGGGTTACCCCTTTAAAACCACAAACCAACCACCCTTCTGTTATGAATATAACAAAAAAAATGAAGCCATCACGTTGGCGTTAGGGCATTTAACAACAAAAATATCACATTGCGTGCAATGCACCTAGCAACAATTAATGGTTCTAGAATGAATTCGAGGGTCATAAGGTCACTTGGAATCATCCCAATCTGTCCATTTGAATCTTCTCTTTTCCTTTCTTTCCTCGCATTTCTTAGCTCGCTCAATTTCTTTCCCCTTCTTTCTTTCTGATTATCGCTCTTTTCTTTCCTCTCATTTCTTACCTCTAATAATTTCATCTCTCTCTTTTTTCTTTTTTTCTTTTTGCTTTTTTTTCTTTTCCTTTTAATAATAAAAAAAATGATTCGATCGAACCCTATGTAGGTTGCCTACGTATCATGATGCCGCATGAATCAGATCTTTACGTAGTTCTGGAAGATCGAGAATAAAGCAAACAAGCTAACGTTCTCTTTTTTTTCTTTTTTACCTTAATGACTACTCTGATGAGAAAAGAAAAATAAAAAAAACAAATCTCTTTTTTTGAATTTTCTAGACCTAATGTTCTATAACCTATTCCCAACTCAAACTTAACGAGCATATGTATTTTTTCAAGACAAATACTCTATGGGAAATTATTAAAAAAAACCCTAGAAGAGAAAAATATTTTTTTTGATTCTTTTTTTAAAGAAGGAAATATAAAGAATAAACTATAGAAACATATTTTGAATTTTCATTTGATATCCTGATACAAGATTTCGAAACAAACAATGAAAAAGATAAAACAAAATATTTTTAGATTTCAATTTTGATTGCCTAAAGAAGAAATTCTAATGATAAACAAAAGATAAAGTATTTTTTTCTATGTACAATATCCTAAAGTTCTAATGAAAATAAAAGAAAGTTTTTTCATTTTTTCGTTAATTTCCCAAAGAAACACCTCAAAAGAAAATCTTTTTGGATTTTGGAATTAATACCTTAAAGAAAGTTTTTAAAGGGGTACTAAAAGAAAATTTTCTTTTTTTTGAATTTTGGTCCTAATATAGTAAAGGAAATATAAAACAATTTTTATTTTGATATTAATTGCCTAAAGGAAAAACAATCTCAAATGATTTTTTTTTTTCATTTCTAGAATTAGTATTCTAAAGAAAGCTTCTAACGGAAATATAAAATGCAACATCTCTTTTTTTTTTTTTGATTTATAACACACTTTTTCAGATGCAAAATAGAAAATACAATGGTAATAAAAAAACTCGACATTACTTTACAAATCTAGAAAGTAAAAGACGACATAAGAAAAATAAAAAATCTCCTTAAGTAACTTCTGAATGCAGTGGCCTTGGGGCATCTGTTGTGCTCAACCTCCGGTAAGTAAATCCACACCTGTATGAGAAAACTTAAACCAACACTAAGTGAGACAATAACATTCCCTACCAGACACATGCAAGACATGATTGCGATTATTTTTTCTAAAATTAACCGATGTGGCTAAAAGTACAAGATTTTGCTAAGAGCCCGCGAAGCCAAGAACCTAAGATTTACTATGAAGACCGGACCCTGTGTGGGTTGCCTACGTATCACGCCCCGAAAGACGAGAATAAGGTATGCGTAGTTCGGACAGATTGGATACGGACGAGAATTAAAAAAACTAATTTAGAGAGAGAAAAGAAAAAAATATATATTTTTCTCTCTTTTTTTGGAAAAATGATGAAACATGCAAACTCTTTTTGGGATTTTCTTTTCTTTATCCTTTTTTTTTAATTTTCTGATTTTCGAAAAATGATGAAAAAGTGCAAAGTCTTTTTTTTTTTTTTTGAATTTTCAAGCTCTCTTTTTTTCTCAACAAAAATGTGACAGAAAATATAATTGGGCCCTACTCGCTTTATTTTCACTCTTCACCCTCTTTTTTTGTTTTTTTGCTTTTTTCCTTCTTTTTTCTTTTTCATTTGTCCCTAACTATCATTGGTCCATCAAATGACCCTTTTACCCTTAAAGGAATGCAACATGTAGCACATAAGATGCATCAAGATGGTCTGTTATTTTGGGTACACCTGTCCTAGACGGCCCCTATGTTGAGTCCCCTAAGTCAAACGCACATGATGCAAACAAACGTTCCTACTAGGGATTCAGCATGAGGCTGTGTTTTTCTAGGTTTAAATCCTGGGGTTTTGGTCTAGACTTGGGGTACCCGAGCGGACAACTGGGGCCGAGGAGGGGGCGACGTACCAGGAGCACTGAAGTCTACCCGGGCTTGTCGCTTGCCCAACCTCGTTCTATTTGGTATAATTTCTACAGAAAAAGTGAGCTACGCGAACGTATGCACCATTTCCAGAAGACTCAGATGGGTGGAGTAAAAAACATTTATATACAATTCAAACAATAATAAAGCAGTAAACAGATAGCATTTAGCATAAAAGATTCACAGAATACAATAATATTAACAATAAATGAAGTCAAGTAAAAATCATTAACAAGCTCGAATTCTTGAACCCTGAACCAGAGATTCTGGGTTTTTTTCCCAGCAGAGTTGTCAGATCTGTCACACCTCCTTTTTTACTACACCCCGTAAAAGGGTATAAATATAAGGGAGTTTTCCAATTAAAGGACAGTCGAAACGAGATTTGTTTGTTTAAAATTTAGAGTCGCCACTTGGGAGAATTTATGGTGTCCAAAGTCACCAGTTTTAAAAATCCCGAACTGAGGAAATTGACTCTATTTACGGTCTGCGAATACAGAAATCCGGGTAAGGAATTCTGTTAACCCGGGAGAAGGTATTAGGCATTCCCGAGTTTCGTGATTCTAGCACGATCGCTTTGATCATACTTGGCTTAATAAAATTGTTTAATTACTCATTTTTAGAACCTATGTGCATTTACCTTATACCGCTTTTTAATTAGGAAAATTATCTTGAAATGGGTCACGCGTACGTGTACCCATTGGTTTGGCGCGTCAAAAATCATGTCACGCGAACGTGTCCATAATTAATAACGCTTTATTGTTGTTAAGAAAATTTGGCCGAAGTTGCGCGAACGCATACTCTGGCTTTGTTTTTAGAAATCGCAATCATGTGACGCGGACGTGTCCACAATCGCAATGGTATATTAAACAGACCCAAAGCAACTACGAGCATCGGTATTAGATCAATTAGCTGAATCTTGTCAAACCATGCACATGGATACATGCCTATTCCCTTTCGAGTCATGCATATAAATGAAGTGTCATAGATTCAAGACATAATGTTGTAAAATTAAGCTAATCATTGAAATAAATATACAATTAGGCCCAATTTAAGTAAGTCCACATTTTGAAAGAAACGTATAAAAATTAGCTTCTAAATTAACAGCCAATATTAAGAAACTACTGTAACAATAGCATAAAATCGATGAGACAATAAATAAAGAAAAAACAAAACAGTCCAAACACTCTACTGTAACAAGTTGAATAAACGATTAAAATTAAGAACAACAAACCTTTATATATGAGTCAATTTATATATGAAAACTCCAATTTGTTTGCAGCAACATCAAATGCCGAACTCGAACCCGATCGAAAACCCAGCCGAAACCTCAAACGAACAGTGACAACCTCAGAATCGGATTCCAAACCTCAACTGAATCTTCATTTTTGGAACACCAAAATCGAAATTGAAAGGAAGGTAGAAATCTTGTGTGTTCCGTTTTCTTATATTCCCGTCCGAGAAACGTGAGTGTGTGCTTGTGTTAATGGTGGTCGAGGTCTATTGAGGATGATGCTTCTGTGATTTTTGTTCAAGAGCAGTAGCTCATGGGGTCGTTGCTTTTGCTCAAGAAGGGACCATCGAAAAATGGCTCAAAAGAAGGAGGTCTGTGGGGAAGCTTTAATGGAGGTAAGGGTGTCATGGTTGGTCGGTGATGAAGTTTTGGTGGATGTTGGTTGCTACAGGTTTTGGAACGAAGAAGAAAATGGAACGAGGGGGTCGTTCTCCGATTTCTTGTGTGTCGAAGAACNTTTGGAGAAGATGGAAACAAGGGGGATGGGGGTCGTTCTCTGAAAACTGCGCAGCTTTTGTCGTCTTTTACATTTCTTCAGCCTTCTTTTTTCGTTGTCCGCGTTGTTTTCTTCCTTCCCCCTTTAGTCTTAGGTTTTTTCCTTTTTTATATTGTTGGTTTTTTGGTAGAGTTTTTAGGTTAAGGGGTATGGGCCTAGGAATTATGGGCTTGGCAATTGTGGGCTAGGTCCAAAATTAGGCCTAAAAATGGGTTGCTCGCGCCCAAGTTCTATTCTTTCCCCGCAAACAAGACTAAAAATACGATCTCAATTATTAAAAATACGATACTATTTTTTGTATATTTTTTTTAGATTAAAACTGACTACAAAACATTAATGAACCTATTTTTGTAAATTTTTGTTTTCTTGTAATAAAATAGAGTAAAAGAGTCAAAATTACTTAAAATATCTATATTATGCCTAAATTAAATATTTTACGCTAATATATAAAAAATCTTGGGGAGGGTCAAAAATCACATGTCTACACTTCGCATTTGCGAAGTTCATCGTCACAATTGCGACTCCATCAGTGGCCGCATTTGCGAAGAAAGCAGGCCAGGCCAAGCTTCACATTTGCGAAGTATTGGTCGCATTTGTCAAAGTGTGATCGTAAATGCGATATCTGCAACTGATCAAAATGAGTTTTGGACGGGATTTTCAATTCATTTCTCAAATATTTCAAACCCTAAGCTTCAAGAGGTGATTTTCTAAAAAGTTTTTCTTCCCCAAATCATAGGTAAACGATTTCTAACTTATTTCCTTTAATTTATTTCATATTTTTATAATATTGCATCACAAAATCTAAGGATTTTCATGGGAAATTGGGTGTTTTTGGGTAGAACCTAGGAATTTTAAAATTTAGGGATCTAGACCTCAAATTAAGGTCGGATTCCAAAACCAATTGTATATCCGGGCTCGAGGATGAATGGGTAATCGCATTTTTGTCTGAACTTCGAGTTTTGACCAAACGGGCTCGGGGTCTATTTTTGACTTTTTGGGGAAAATGTTGGAAAATCTATAATCATGCAATAGAATTGGTTTCTTTGGCGTTAATTGATGATAATAAGTTAATTATGCATAGATGCGAGCGGATTGGAAGTGAAAACTAAGGGAAAGCAGTATTCGAGGCTTGAGTTTGGCCGTGGAATCGAGGTAAGTATCGTGGCTAACCTTAGCTTGAGGGATTAGGTGTTGTTGCCTTATTTGCTACTTGTTTAGTTGTTAAGTACGACGTATAGGTGTGGTGAAGAGTATCCATATGTCGTTGTCGGGTCATAGCATGCGAGTGAGTCCTATACTTGTGACCATTGTGTTTCTTTGTATGTATTATTCCTTCTTAAACTAGTTATTTCTCATGATAAACAAGCCTTATTATGTTTTTCCTGGTTTTGGATATTGGTTGAGTATTGGCTCAAGTTAAGATTTCTGTTGTGAAATTAAATGATGAAACGAAGTTGTTTGATTGTGATGCCCTTGCCGGGTTGTGATTATTTCTGTTGTCTCTTATGGTGAGGAAGAGCAATAAAGAACGAAGAGCGATGTCATGTACATTTATACGATTCATATGGTGAGGAAGAGTGATAAAGCACGAAGGGTGATACCGTGCACATTTTTATTATTCATATGGTAAGGAAGATTGATAAAGCACGAAGGGTGATGCCGTGCACATTTATACTATTGATTGCATGGTGAGGATTGAGAGTAAAAGCACGAAGGGTAATGCCGTGTATTTTTTTGTTTGCAGTGTTTATTTGTTGTTATCGGTTCAAGTATACTAGTTGTTTAGATTCCTTTACTGCTGTGATTCTATATATTGGAACCCGCATAGCATGTTGCCCCTTCCCGTTTATTTCTACTTAGCTTTTATTACTTGTTATTCTGTTAGTATATTATTTAACTGCACAGGTTCATGTTGTTTGTCGTGTTCTAACCTCGTAACTACTTCACCGAGGTTAGGCTCGACACTTACCAGTACATGGGGTCGGTTGTACTAATACTGCACTCTACACTTTTTGTGCAGATCTTGATGCTGGACCCTACTTATTAGAGTTTGAGGTTGCTGCCTTCTGTCTATAGGAGACCCAAGGTAGATTTGCCAGCGTTCGCAGACCTGGAGTCCCCTTCCCTTTATCTTAGTTCCTATTTTCATTCATTTCGAAAAACAAATATATTTTCCTTTAAACCAGTATTTGTAGAAATTCTTAGACGTTCGTGGATTGTGACACCAGATCATTGGGGTAGTCATGTTTTAGATTTTGAACTATTATAAAATTTTTGCACTTCATTTCTATTTAGCCTTAATTAATATTTATTACTATTTTGGTTAATGATTAATGTGTTAGAACCGTATTCGTTGGCTTGCCTAGCATTCAAGCGTTAGGCACCATGACGATCCCGACGGTGGAAAATCCGGGTCGTGGCAAGTTGGTATTAGAGCACTAGGTTGCCTAGGTCCCACAATTCACGAACAAGCTTAGTAGAGTCTGAGGGATCGGTACAGAGACGTCTATGCTTATCCTCAGAGGCTACAGAGTTTAGGAATAACTTCACATCTATTCTTCTCTGTCGTGCGATTTGATTTCTCAATGCTAATTGAAATTCTACTATGTTCTTTTGCTGATGGCGAGAACACGTACCGCTTCATTAGCTGATCAACAGCCCGAGCCCCAATGACAGCTCCGACGAGGGACAGAGGACAAGGCTGAGGCTGTGCCAGGGGCATGGCTCAGCCCAGAGCTCGAGCAGCATCACTAGTGGTGGAGCCTCAGGTAGAGTTTGATAATGAGGTTCTAGCCCAGACCGTTCTAGTAGGGCCGACTCAGGTTCCAGACGGGTTCATAGCTACCCTGGTACTTCAGGATGCTTTGGTCCGACTAGTGGGCGTTATGAAAAGTGTTACTCAGGCCGGAATACTTCCTGTAGCACCAGGCATCTCTCGAGCTGGGGGAGGAGCACAGAATCCCACTACTCACACTCTAGAGCAGATGGCTCCTCAGTTTTAGACTCCAGCAGCTCAGCCAGTTGGGGTAGTTCTGCCGGGTGTTTTAGCACAGATCGACGATGGATCATCTATGTCTTCTGAGGCCATGTGGAGGTTGGACAGGTTCACCAAGCTCTTCACTACTACCTATGGCGGTATATCTTCAGAGGATCCTCAGGACTATTTGGATAGTTGTCACGAGGTTCTACGGAACATGGGGGTGGTAGAGACCAACGAGGTCGACTTTGCTGCTTTTCGTCTATCAGGTTCCGCTAAGAAATGGTGGAGGGATTTTTGTTTGGCTAGACCATCGGGCCACCTACCTTGACTTGGGATCATTTCTCTCTGCTATTTATGGAGAAATTCCTTCCTGTCACTTAGAGAGTGGATTACCGGAGGTAGTTTGAGCTCCTCCTGCAAGGTTCTATGACTGTCACTCAGTACGAGACTAGAAGTATTGATAAAATATTGAGTTTGCCTTTAAAAAATGGATTTAAGTTGACTTCGGTCAACATTTTTAGTAAACGGACCTGGACCCGTGATTTGACAATCTCGGAGGGTCCAAGTAAAATATGGGACCTGGGCATATGCCCGGAATCGAATTTCGAGGTCCCTAGCCCGAGAAATGAAATTTTGAAGAAATTTGCTAATTGAAAAATATAATCATTTTTAGAAATGGAATAATGTTTGAACTTGTTGGTATCAGGCTCGTATTTTGGTTTCGGAGCTCGTATAGGTCCATTATAATATTTTAACCTTATCTGTGAAATTTGGTGAAACACAGAAGTAATTTGACGTGATTCGGACCTTTGGTTGTGAAAATAGAAAGTTTGACCTATCTTGAAAATTTCATGAGTTTTGGGGTTAAATTCGATGTTTAAGATGTATTTTGGCAATTTGATCGCACAAGCAAGTCTGTATGATATTTTTAGACTTGTGTGCATGCTTGGGTTAGAGCCTCGAGGGCTCATAGGAGTTTTGGATAGGCTACGGAGTGATTTTTGGAACTTAGAAAACTACTGGTATGTTCAGGTCTGCAGACTTCGCAATTGCAAAGTCTGGCTCGCAAATGCGAGCATCGCATTTGCGAAGAATCATTGCATTTGCGATCTTTGTGCTGGGAGGGGACCTTCACATTTGCGAAGTTCATCGTCGCAATTGTGACTCCATCAGAGCCGCATTTGCGAACAATTGTTCACATTTACGAAGAAAGCAGGCCAGGCCAAGCTTCGCATTTGCGAGTTCGCATTTGCGAAGCTATGATCGCAAATGCGATATCTGCAACTGATCAAAACGAGTTCTGCATGGGATTTTCAATTCATTTCTCAAATTTTCAAATCCTAAGCTTCAAGAGGCAATTTTCTAAAGAGTAGTTCTTCCCCAAATTATAGGTAAACGATTTCTAACTCATTTCCTTCAATCTATTTCATCGTTTTACAAGATTTCATCACAAAATCTAAGGATTTTCATGGGAAATTGGGTGTTTTTGTGTAGAATTTCGAAATTTCGTAATTTGGGGATGTAGACCTCAAATTAAGGTTGGATTCCAAAACCAATTGCATATCCGGGCTCAGGGGGTGAATCGGTAATCGGGTTTTGGTCCGAACTTTGAGTTTTGACCAAGCGGGATCGGGTCAGTTTTAAATTTTTGGGGAAAAATGTTGGGAAATCTATAATCATGCATTATAATTGGTTTCTTTGGCATTAATCGATGATAATAAGTTAATTATTCATAGATACGAGCGGATTAGAAGTGGAAACTAAGGGAAAAGTGGTATTTAAGGCTTGAGTTTGGCCGTGGAATCAAGGTAAGTGTCGCGGCTAAGCTTAGTGTCTAAGGTAAAATCGGAGGAAATAATTTTCGATCATTATGACGCTTCGTAAGCACGTTGTCGAAGGTTTGAGGCTATGATCAAGATTCACACCCGAAGGGCTATCGACGCCCGACCTCGGGGCAATACAGATCGATGGTTA